GACAATCATTTCAGAAATTTCTTTATTTTTTTCAAGAGAAGTTCAGGGCGTGGAGAAGGACGAAAAGAAAGAAGTAAGTATTAAGCTTACAATTATATCCATGCTATAGTTTATATTCTCAGAGTGATGAATATTTGATTGTACGGAGGACCGAAGGAATACACTGCCTTTGTGGCCCCCCTTTTGAGGATGTATGAATTCGAACGTCTCATTTTTATAAGAACCCTTCTTGGAGGACTTGAAGAAATATAGCTGTCTTTATGGCCCCTCTATTTTGGAGGATATATTGATTCATATTGTCTTATTTTAATGAGAACCCTCCTTATACCTTCTGATAAAGAGCATAAACATTAATTAATGATAAGTGCATCATATTATAATATTAACTTTGCTTGTTTCTTTATTAGGCGGATCTTAAAGTTTTTAAGCGGTATTTATATGATGCGAAGAAAGAACATAAATATGTTCAATACGGACTACATGTGGTGGATTGTGCACGAGCGTTAGGGTGGAATGATCTTATTCAAAAAGATGTTTATAATCATATGATGGAATATCAAGCCAAACACGACATACATAAAGTTGATTTTTTCTTATCTGTAATTTCCTATATAAATTTTTATCTAAATTAATATTTTATTTTGAACTAGCTGCAATTTGAACAGAACATGAATGATATTGTAAAAGTTCTAAGCAGAGAAATCTGGAATTTAAATTTAAAACCAAACGATCTAATACTTTCAGGGATCCTAGATACTGAAGAAATAAGAGAAAGAAATCCTGGATTTTTGCAGATGTTGCAGGATGCAAATATGCTAAATAGTTTTGAAGAAATAATTCCACGATTATCGTTGCCAGGAAAATTATCAAGTTTTGTTAGAAACTACCTTTGTGGAAAAGAGATGAAAATCCCTAATAATGAATATAGATCTTTATATATTTCGACGAGAACCTTTATTGATTCAATGTAAGTTATATTAAATTTTATTATTTTGTTAAGAACAACTACACTTACTAAATGTCACATAGGTTATAGTATATATCATATTGTATCACCAATATGATGCATCTAATCAACTTGTATTATAGTCTAGAACTATACTAAGCTTGATTTCTTCATGAATCTATAAAGTCGCAGCATATGGAAAAAAAAGGAATATCAAAACAA